ATCTCATGAAGAAGAGCCTCTGTGCCCCTTGTGAAGCAACTTTGGCACCTTCAGGAATTCCTATAAGGCAAATATTAGTTTTCTTTGAATTATCCCAAAGTTCTCTGAGAGAATGATCCATTTTTGCTCTCATTTCTCTTCCTCTTTGAGCGCTTGGGAGCGTTCAAAAGCTTTGTCTACAACGTCAGAAATCCTTTCTTCTGCTTGCTCCATTGTGTTACTGAGGGATTCTACTGTATTTCTCAGATCTTTGAGGGCTGAAAATTCTTGTCTCAGTGTGTCAAGATTGGTGATTTTGTCTTTGAATTCATTGAATTCTTGAGATAACTTTTGAATTGCTCCTTGAATTTCTAATTCCAACTTTACCTCCATTCTATTAATCTTATTTGCAATCTAAACTCTGAATTCAATTTCTGACATCTTAGGCTTTTGTCTATGAATGGGATTTTCAGTTGTGTCTTCCGTATTGTTCCTTGGAGGAGTTGATCTACTCTGGTTATTCATGTTACCAGAATTTCCCTGCTGATTCTGCCCCATGATTATTTTACACCATTTGACTACATGAGCAGATAAGGTGAAGTTAGGTTGGGAGGCTCCTGGAGTAGTGATTAACCAGCCCTTTGCCCAAGAGCTGTGATTGGTGCCTGTACCTTTTCCCCTAGAGCTTTGCAAAGGACCTGTACAGTGCTATCGCCTGAGACACTGGGGACTTATTTGGTGTGGTGGGACTAAGTGGCTCTGTCTCTTTTCAGCTGGTCTCTGTCCTACCATAGTGAATCAGTTACTCTGGGTTGAAGTCTCAGCTGTGGAGAAATACCAGCAATTAAGTCACCCCACCACCACCCCACCATGGGCAACAACTGGAAAGGGAAAATCAAACCTTCTTACAACCACACACCCAGGGTACCACTTTGAATGGTCCTCAGGTGTTGGTCCAGTCCGAGAGATCCAGATCAATTGTCCCAGTCAGCACCCAGTCTCAAGTGAGGGAGTTCAAAAGGTCTCTGGCAACTATATACCAGGGGTCTGCTAGCAGCTCGAGTATGACTCGTTCTGGTGCTTTGTGGAGTCAGAAGGATCCTCCCAGCAAATGAATTAGTCTGGGAAGGTTGATGCCTCCTTCCCCACCTTGCCCCTCTGTCACTGGTAACCCCTCAGGGCTATGACCCTGTTCCCTCCAATGAGCACATGCTTCAGGGCTTTTAGCCTACCTGAGTCACAGAGAGATCTTATGTCTCCTCAGCCAGGCCTCTGCACTCTGCCACCATCTGGCAGGGGAAGCTGAGGCCTGACAACCTCAGGTGGTTAATGGAATCTGGGTGGTTCACTCAGTTCCAGCCCCACCCCTGAATGATGTTGCTGACACTTATATTTGCCCAGAATTTGTGATTTTCTCCTGGCTATATTCCCCTGTGGACCAGGTGCTGTTTGAGTTCACAGAAACTGTGACTCAGTCCTGGTCTGTGCCACTGCCTGGAGCTAGTGTTTCTGTTTCCCCTGTAGTCTGTGTTGGGGCATGTGCGGTGGTTAGGTTAGAGCTCATACTCAGCTTGGAGTTCCAGCCTCGGCCTGCCTGCCTTTGTCTCAGCTATGATCTCCTGAGGGCCAGGTGTTTCTTAGGCTCACTAAAGCTGTCCTGGCTCAGCTCCTCCCTGGGAGAATGCCATCTCTGCCCACACATCTTCAATTCTCTGTCTGGCCTCACTCCGCCCAGGCCTGTACTGCCTCAGGCATACCCTTTGCTCACGGGGTCTGCATTACTGTCCCAGATCTATTCTGCCAGTTTCTGCCATGGGAGAAGATACCCAGATTTCTCTGGTTGCCCAAAGAGACAGGGAGTGTCCTTCCAAAATATCCCCAGGGGTATGAGCCCTATCGTTCCCACTGCTGCTGCTGATCTGTGCCAGGGGGCATCGCCTCTCCCTTTCCCATGTGGTTCCTTCAGTCACTGTTTTCTCCTTACCCCTGTGCCTCAGAATCAGCACAGACCTGCAACAGCCCATGCCCTGTCCACACCTCTGGAGAAAATGCCCAAGAATCTGGACTCCATGGGGGATAGGCTTCCAGTCCTCGGGGTTAGAGTGGAGGGGAGTGCTGGGAGTTCAGAATTGCAGGTAGAGAATATATACAGTTTTATACAGTTTTATGCCTGGCAGGAGAGTGCCATGGCACCCTAGTAGGGGAAGGAGGTCTGGTTTTTACAGGGTCTCTTCTGTGAGATAAAATGGGAGGACGTCCCTATTAGGATCCCCTGTGTGCATGGGTCTGTTTCTGGGCTTTCTAGTCTGTTTCATCAGCTTTTTGTCACTGAACAAGTAGCTTATAGTCGAGTGACCATAGATTTGTGTGTGTTACATAGCTTTGGTCATGGATTGACCAAAACTTAGCAATGGATTTTGTACCTTTTGTTTGTATCCTTGGGCATGCAGCTTGCCTCATCAGGGTTGATGTGTGTTCTTCAACCTTCTCTCTTGGCTCAGCTTCAAACCATCAGCTTACTTACTAAACTTCTGTCCTTTAACTCTCCTTCTGGACGGGAGCCTCTGTGGAAAGCTGGCTCCAGTCAGCCATCTTATCTCTGTCCCCCCACCCCATTTTTTCTTTCCTCTTCTTCCTTCTCTCCTTCTTCTCCTCCTCCCTCTTCCTTCTTTCTTCTTCCTCTTCTTTGTTTCCTAACTCTTGGGCTCAAGAAATCCTCCTGCTCCAGTCTCCCATAGTGCTGCTGGGATTATAGGCATGAGTCACTGCATTTGGCTTAGAATTGTATTTTTCTAATTCTGTGAAACATTATGTTGGTATTTTGATAGGAATTGCATTGAATCTGTAGATTGCTTTGGGGCAGTATGGTCATTTTTAACAATACTGATTCTTGCAACCCATGAGCATGGGAT